GACTAAAATATCATAGGTTGAAGTAAGAATCAGAAAACATAGCGATCAACGATCTGGTTTAAATGTGTGGTATAAGACTAAAATATCATAGGTTGAAGTAAGAATCAGAAAATACAGTGAAAATCTTCAATATTATTTTGCCATATTGCACCTAAGACTCGGTGGTAACTCTGTATACTCACAATGGTGTTTATAGACCCAAGATTGGCACGTGACAGATTGCTCCTTGTGTAGCTTAACAATAAATCAAATAAACACAAAGATCCTCTCCGTTCTGCAAAAGCATAGTTCTATCAATATGAGGTTCGTTACCATATCGTTCAGTTTTTATTTTGATTGTCTGACTCACAAAGTTAAATGTGAAATGTATTTTGATACTAATCAGATACACTATCACACTGTTAGACTTATATCTTCACTGTTTATTAAGTAACAGGGTTTATCCATTCAATGTGAGTTCCCTTTAGATAATACTCAAATAAATACCGTACTTTTAGATCCCTTTCATGATTGTATTTTCATAATTTATTCATTCTAAAGGAAGTGGTCACTTGGCGTTTAGTAGAATCAGGATACAGTAATCAGTTGACAATAAACACTCAGAGGGGTGCATTGGCGTTAGCCTTTAGGATGTGGGCCGAAGTAATCCCATTGCAGTTCCAAGAAGACACCCTGTCTCCGATCAATAACGTCGATATTCTGATCGCCTTTGGAAGAGGTACGTAGTATTTTTTTTATTTTCTTATTTTACACACTTTGAAATGAATGCTCTAACTTCTCATCGACATCATTCATTCTTTATTTATATCAGATATATCTTCATTGAACGATTTTTTTATCATTTAAACAGTATCACTGAAGGCTGATGAATCAAATATAATTTTAGAAGACCGTGATTTTCATTTTACTACCAGTTTATAAGCCAGAAAAGCTTAGTTTTGAACTTAAAACATGCGGTTTTTATTAGAACTTCTTTAAACTCTTCAACCCTTTGGTTCTATAAATAAGTACCATTGTGTTTATATATTAGAATGAAACTACTTAATCAACTAATGATAATGTATGAGTGAAGTTTTCAGGTTATTTCACTAGTTAATTCGTTTAATTTTCATCACTGGTATAATGCTCGAAACTTACAAACCATGACATTATTATTCTGTCACAAGTAACGGTCAAGACATTGAAACAGCTCTTAATTTATTTTCAGGTTAATCAGCATTGAATCTACTTTGAGACTGTTCGGTTATCACTTAATTAACACCTTAATGCTAATCTAATCAAGGTTCTAGAAGACAGATTTACCGGGTAAATTGTACCCTGAACTAACAACTCGTGTGTGTGTGTGTTTTTGTAACTCGTTACAAAGGTCATGAAACGGAGAAAAATAAAGCTTTACCATTAATACTGATGGGAAAAAACTCCGGATTTTGAAGAAAAGATCGTGTAAAATATCTTAACACTGTAGAAGTAGCTTTACTTTTTAACATTATACATGCGGTTAGAAAAGCGCTGAAAAGTCGGAATCCATTGAATAAATAACTATTTCTTCAGGAGAATATATTTAATTTTCCCCACATTTGTACTTTAAAACTATAGTAATTATACAGTACATTACTTCTAAGCATTGTTAATACACTGTTTTACATTTCTTCTGTAAGTAATTATGAGTAATTATATTCTGTAAATAATTATGACTAATTAGATTCTGTAAGTAATTATGAGTAATTATGTTCTGTAAGTAATTATGAGTAATTAGATTCTGTAAGTAATTATGAGTAATTAGATTCTGTAAGTAATTATGAGTAATTTTATTCTGTAAGTAATTATGAGTAATTAGATTCTGTAAGTAATTATGAGTAATTATATTCTGTAAGTAATTATGAGTAATTATATTCTGTAAGTAATTAGATTCTGTAAGATATTCTGTAAGTAATTATGAGTAATTATATTCTGTAAGTAATTAGATTCTGTAAGATATTCTGTAAGTAATTATGAGTAATTAGATTCTGTAAGTAATTATGAGTAATTAGATTCTGTAAGTAATCATGAGTAATTAGATTCTGTAAGTACATGAGTAATTATATTCTGTAAGTAATTATGAGTAATTATATTCTGTGAGTAATTATGAGTAATTATTAAGTAATTATGAATAATTATATTCTGTAACTAATTATGAGTAATTAGATTCTATAAGTAATTATGAGTAATTATATTCTGTAAGTAATCAGAATATAATTACTCATGAGTAATTATATTCTGTAAGTAATTATAAATTACTTACAGAAT